CTTTTGCCCCCCCTTCCCCCCCCCCCTCCCCGCCCTTTTTAATTTTAGTGGTTGGAATAATGGTTTTTTTTCCCCCTTAAAGAATGTGTGGTTGAAAAAGAGTAAAAAGTTTTCGATTTAGGTGCAATATTATTTTATAGAAGATTGTGTGGTTGAAAATAAGATAGAAAAATTACTCTTAGCTTCTTTAGCAACTTAAATTAACTGTGTACTTATACCAATTAAAATTACAATGTTCGCATTAAAAAAGAACTAGAAAATCTTTCAAAAAATAAAGATAAACTAATATCTATAAGAAATTAAATACACTAGTAAGAACTAGAAAATTTTCAAATGCGACTAATAATACAAAAGAAATACCTTTCTCCCTTTGGATCCTCCACAATCCATGTGAATTCCACATAGGTACTATCCTTTAGTTTTAAAAATTGTCGACATAGAAAATGTGAGCTTTAAGTTCAATAGGACTTATATTACTTGGTGCACCATTTTGAACGAAAATATATACACAATCAAAATGATAGAATTTCTTTTTAAACATTTCAGTAGATGAATACGACAAATTCATGATTCCAAAGAAATGAAAAAATGGGGTAGAAACCTTTGTCCTTCACACTCTTGCTATTTTTTTGAGCTTAAGTAGAAAGATGTTTTTGAGAGAAAACCAAAAGCAAATTCATTGTTGATATAAAATTAAAAAGAAATTTGTTCCCTTAACGTGGGAAATGGGAAGTTTTTAATTCCAAAATTTGGTTTTATATTTTATAAAAAACACGTACATGGTGATTCAAATCGAGTTGTCTATGTAAAATATCATGAAGATGATCATTGTGGTAATTCAGTTACTCATTAAATCTTTTCACTCAAAATTCAATTAAAATTAATGTCTTAAATGTTTTGGGTTTGAATAACTTAAAGCTTGAACTTTCATTACTTTAAATGGGTCAAGTCTCCATGGGTCAAGTCTCCAGGGGTCGTCTTCGAAATAGGTCATACCAACCAAATTAAGTATATAAAATTCAGAATGTAAAACTGTAACACCCCAAATCTTAGGATTTAGATTTGTTACATAAACGCGTTTCTTCAGTTTTCGAAATTCGGGTTGAATTTTTTTTTTTTCCGTAATTCCGTTTTATTTCATAGATTACTCTTACATTCTATTACAAGTTACAGCAACTAACGAAAACAAATGATTTAAATTAGTTAGCTTTGGTTTGTTGAATAAACAAAACTAAATCGAAGGATGGAAATGGAGTTTAGCGTACGTTCACGAAGTTCAACACTGCAATGAACTACTTAACGATCAACCTTAGTTAGATCTTTTTTTGGGTTCAAAATTCTATGAAATTTCTACAGTATTTCCTAACTCATTCAAATACAACAAAATAAAATTTCAAAAATTTCTAACATCATTTAGGTACTCAAATGGACACTCAACACATGCCAAAAGTTGTTCCTGTTACATTGAACACGACATACAAAAGAATATAACTATTCCTATCAATCTTTAAATGACTTGATTCTAAAATCAACGGACAAATGACTTGTTTCATAAATTTTTGGATGAATTTTTCAGTCTTTATTGATTATATTATGATATATTTGCAAAAAAAAAATCAACATAAGGATATCTTACAACGATATTAGAGACTTTACAAAAGGAAAGGGTATGCCAAGTTCAAGAAATGTGAATTTGGGCTCAACCAAATAGGATTTTTTGGTCACATAACTTTGGCAATGAAATTGAGGTCAACCCAACTAAAGTGGAACCGTCCAGCTGATGCGGATGATGTTCAATGTTTTCTAGGTTTAGCTAGTTATTATTGAAGATTCATTGAAGGCTTTTCTAGGAAAACTAGATTAATGACTCAGTTAACTCGAAAATGAGTAAAATTTTAGGGATCGAATAATTGTGAACAAAGCTTTCAAGAGTTGAAATGATGGTTGGCCATGACACTAGCGTTAAAAATTTTGAAAGGTTCGAAGGGTTTCGTGAACTATAGTGATGCATCTAAGCAACGCTTAGGGTGTGTCTGAATACAACATGAAAATGTGGTTGCCTATGCTTCAAGGTAATTAAAATAGCATGAGCAGAATTACTCGATGCATGACCTTGAACTTGTTGAAGTGGTTCACGCATTGAAGTTATGACGACACATCTACATGGAAGCAAGTGTGAGATCTAAACAAATTATAAGATTCTAAAATGTTTCTTCACCTAGAAGGAATTAAATATGAGGCAAAGGAAGAGCTGGTAAAGGACTATACCTATACTATACTTTACCATTTGGGTAAAGCTAATGTGATTGTAGACGCTTTGAGCAGAAACACCTATCTTATGAAGAAGTTTTTGTTGATATTTTGGACAGAAAGGTACATAAATTAAGGACTAAGAAAATTTCGTTGGCTAAGGTTTAGTGGCGACATCACGCGATAGAGAATGCTATTTCGAAAACAGAAGCAAAAATCAAACTCAAATATTCATTGCAAATCAGTTGAGTATTCCTTCTGTTTCTCACTTCAAATAGTTTGACATACGATGAGACATGATTGGCTCAATGAAGCTAATGTCTAGGAAGAAACGATTTTAAGGTGAGAGATTTGAAGTCCCGAATTTCATATTCTTAATTTGGTCGATGTGGCCTAGTTAAAAAAGAGTCATGGAGGCTTAACTCGTTTAAGTTAATGAAAGCTCAAGACAAATTATTTAAGAGCTCAAAGATTTAAGAAATTAAGTTCTAATGGATTTGAGTGCAAAGATTTAATGAAGGGCTATGCTAGAGGTACATAATTTTTGTACATATGTGTGGACAATCCTATGTACAAAAATTATATGCAAGTAGACTTTTCTTTTAATGAATAATTGAATTGTCACAACGGTCATTTGCATGGTATTTTGCATAAGCAACCCAGGTTCAAATTATCATACAAATGTTTTTTTAAAATTTTTTTGTTTAAACATTTTTGGAGTTAAAAACTCATCATTTTCATATTAAAGCGCAATTATGTCAAAGTTAATTGAAGGGAATAAGTTTCTTGTTAATGGACATTAATAGAGATAGGTTACAAGTCACATAGACCATTCTTTTTTCTCCATTTTACATGAAAGACAAATTTGCCTTTGGAAAATCTCTTTTTATTTAAGTTGAGCTTAAATAGATATTATTTCGTTTATATTTCAATAAAATCAAGGTAGGTGGTACTAACTATTTACCCTTTTTATT